AGGAGAACGAGGCTGCTCTCCAAGGTCAGTCAGCAAGTAGGTGAGCCAGCGTAGCTCCTGGGCCGCCATGGCTGTGGCGTAGATCTCAGCCTCACAACTGGAGCTGAGAACAGAAGAAGAGCGAGTAGAACGCCAAGAAACAGAACCAGAGCCAAGACTGAAGGAGTAACCCAGAGACGACCGCTGAGTAGCCTGGTCGTCTGCCCAAGAAGCGTCTGATAGCCCAGTGAGAACAACTGGGACTCGCCCTCCAAGCACTAGCCCCATGCCCGAAGTACTGCACAAGTAGCGCAACACCCTCTTAGCTGCATCCATGTGCTCCTTCCGGTGACGGCTCGGAGCGACATAGCGTGCAAGAATGCTGAGAGGGTATGCAAGGTCTGGTCGAGTGCAGGTCATCAGGTACATGAGGCAACCCACAAGCTCTGGATACGGGCCACTCGGCTCTACGGACTCATCCGAAGGCAGAGCTGAGAGCGAGTGACCGGTAGGCAGAGGAGTGGGCTGAGGCGAGGAGTACGTGAAGCGGAAGCGCTGAAGGACCTGCTGCACCATGTGTGACTGAGTCAAGGTGATGGTGCGGCGTGCTCTGTCCCGGGTGATCCGCAAGCCAAGATAGCTTGTCAGTTCACCCAGGTCTGTGCACGTGTGTCTCTTCTGCAGCTCCGACTTCACGTGGGCGAGTGCCACAGTGTCAGCAGTAGCAAAGACCAAGTCGTCGACGTACACAAGGACGTAGAATGGCGGCAGTGAGGTGTCGGTGCGTAGAAACAGTGACAGGTCAGCAGTAGAAGGCGCGAACCCAAGAGCCGCAAGCGTAGTCCTCAGTGTGTCGTGCCACTCCCGAGGCGCCTGGCGGAGATCGTAGACTGGCCGTCGGAGGCTCCACTGGGTACCAGGAGGGAACGACCCTGTGAAGCCAGGTGGACGGCGCAGCAAGATCTCCTCGTGCAGGCTGCCCTGCAGGAAAGCAGTGCTGAAGTCAAGCGAGTGGAGCTCGTAGTCACGCTGAGCGGCGACGTGCAGCAGAACCCGAAGAGTGGTCATCTTCGGGGTCAGGGAGAAGGTCTGGAAGAAGTCAACTCCCTCTCGCTGACTGAAGCCTCGTGCAACGTAACGCGCCTTGAAGACAGGCGGAGAGCCCGGCGGCCGCTTCACCCTGAAAATCCACATGCCACTGACGATGTTCGCCCCAGGTGGGGGAACCTCGTCGACGTAGGTGCCTGTGGACTTCCAGGAAGCCATCTCTGTGTCCATGGCTGACTGCCACTGAGAGGAGTAGGGATCGGCCATCGCCTTTGCGTAAGAGCGTGGGGTCGGGATGTCTGGTGCATCCGGTTCTCCCTCAGGGGCAACAAGCATGGACACGAGATGGGGCAAAGCGGCAGCAAAGCACTCAAACTCCTCCTGCCTGTCCTCAAGGACGTCAGTGCCAAGAGCACACTCACCCCCGACGGACGGAGGACAGACAGACTCAGACTCAGCAACTAGGCTAGCAGCGTAGTCTAGACGACAGCGAGCAGCAAAGTCGACAAGCTCAGCAACTAAGGCAGACGCACCAGCAGACTCAAAGGAAGGGTCAATGACAACAGTAGCTAGGAGACGCGTGACATTAGGACTGGTAGCACGAAGAGAGTCTGACCCAAGGTCAGCAAGAGCAGGAAGAGAGGAAGCAGGAGGAGACGGCAGTGGGACACGCTGTGGAGCAGTGGACGGACGAAGCGCCATCCGGTGAGTGCCTGGGACAGCAGGAAGACGCTGACGCTGGAATCGACTACTAGAGAGAGCAGTGCGGACAGGCGACTCAGGACGAGACTCAGGCGACGCAGGACGAGACGCAGGCTCACGCCGCTCAGTAAGACCTCCAGTCAGACCAGTGTAAGGAGCAAGACCAGGGAGAGAGGAGGCAGACGGTAACGCCGACTGCAGCTGGACAGGTGGAGGACATGCTAAGGAGGGAGGAGGAAAAGGAGGAGGAAGCTGACCAAGAACCTGCTGAAGGAGCGGAACAAAGTACGGCCGAGACCGAGCAGCGACACCAGAGCCAGCAGGGACACCCGCACCAGGGTCCGCAGCACCAGCAGCAGCTCCAGCACCCACGTCCTCAGCACCAGCAGCAGCTCCAACGCCCGGGTCCTCAGCACCAGTAGCAGCTCCAACGCCCGGGTCCGCAGCACCAGCGGCAGCTCCAACGCCTGGGTCGTCAGCACCAGCAGCAGCTCCAACGCCCGGGTCCTCAGCACCAGCAGAGGCTCCAACGCCCGGGTCCTCAGCACCAGCAGTAGCTCCAACGCCCGGGTCCTCAGCACCAGCAGCAGCTCCAACGCCCGGGTCCTCAGCACCAGCAGCAGATCTAACAGCAGCGGGGTCCGTAACACGAGGAACGCCACTCCGAAGAGTGCAGCGCCGCTCGTACCACTCACGGATCCGCTCGCGGGAGGGGAGCTCCCGAACGGGAGAAGAAGCACTAGCACCAGCCCCAGTAGTACGTCCGGCTCGAGCGGTACCTCTTCGGAGGCTGCAGTACTCTTAGTACCACGCACGCAGCTGCTCCGAGGAGAGGGCTCCTCCAGGTGCAGGACTCCCATGCCTAGTACCTTTAGACTCAGAACCCTCTGGACTCCGCAGCTCAGCACCACTAGGCTCCACACCCCCAAGCTCAGCACCCCTAGGCTCTACACCCCCAGGCTCCACACCCCCAGGCTCCACACCCCCAGGCTCCACACCCCCAGGCTCAGCACCCCCAGCAGGACGAGAGTCGACAGCTACCTCAACAGGCTCAACCGGGTCTACCTGAGACACACCTGAGGGAGCGGCACCCTGAGGGGGGAGGGGGTCTGCAACAACAGCACCTGGCGCGAGGAAGAGAGGCGGGGGGGGGAGCGGGGCAGTGCGGTAGGGGAAGAGGCGGTAGTAGGGGACGGACTCGTCAAAAGTGACGTCCTGGGAGGGCAAGACTCGGCGCGAGGTGGTGTGGTAAAACTGCCAACCAGACGCGTCCGGGACAAAGCCGAGGAAGACGCAGGGAACAGCACGAGAGGAGAGCTTGTCCGCAGACGAATCGCGGACAAAAGCTCGAGACCCCCAGACCCGGAAACGCGACGCATCGCCAACCTCCCCCGTCCACAGCAGCGTGGGTGAGGTCTCTGGCAAGGAGACACGGGGCCAGAGGTTGAGCTGATGCGCAGCGTACCGGACCGCAAACGGCCACAGAAAGTGGGGGGCAGCCGCATGGATCAAGGAGGTACGGGCGACCTCCATGACCAGGCCAATGCGGCGCTCCGCAACCCCATTCTGTTGTGGAGAAGCCGGAAGAGTGAACGACTGCTCAATGCCGTGCTCAGCACAGTAGGCTGCCAAGAGGTCGGAGGAGAACTCACCACCTCTGTCAGAGTGCAAGCGCAGGACAGGAAAGTCTGAGTGAAAACGCTCGCTGAGCTGGAGACGGGCTCTGCGGATCCAAGGGATCAAGACATCAGGGACCTCACCCTTGGTGCGCAAGGGGAAGACCGAGGTGTAGCGCGAGTAGTCGTCAACAACTATCAGGAAGTACCTCTCCTGACCCTGACCACGGACGCGGGCTGGGCCCCACACGTCCATGTGGAGTGTCTGCAAGGGAGCAGTCGTCGGGGGGAACGAGGAGGAGTGAGGAGCGGCGCGCTGTCGTCCCTCGACACAGGGGAGACAGGTAGGAGCAGGCGAGGGTTGGAGGGCAGGAAGGACCCTAGGCCGGCCAGAGACAAGGTACCGGGAGTGCATGGCACGAAGCCGCTGCACAGACGGGTGGCCAAGGCGGTGGTGCCAGAGGACAGTCTTGTGTGCCAAAGACCGACACGAGCAGGGGGCGCAAAGCTGACCTGGCGCGGACGCGGACGCAGTCGCAGCAACCTGAGGGGACTCAGTAGTCAGTGTGTACACGTCCGACCCCGGCTGCCGAGTGAAGGTAGCCAAGTGACGGCCCGTACGAGCACACGTGCAGTGTGTCACGCGCTCGTAGGCAGGGGTGAACTGGTGAACACCCCCGTCCTGGAGTGCACATCCTGCCACCAAGTTCGTTGAGAACGAGGGGAGGTGGAGACCTGACAGAATGCCCGACGGGACCGCAGGGCAGGGAAGGACAGTGGAAGAGGTCGCAATGACCGGACCCCCAGAGGGGTCAGCAAGGGAGACAGCAACTGGCCGAGCAAGCGGCTCAAGGGCACTGCGGTCACGTAAGAAGCAGCGAGAAGCACCTGAGTCGAGTGTGAAGGTGTGCAGTGCGGGAGTCGACGCAGTACCAAGGGGGGGAGACACACGAGCACCTAGAGCAGCAGCCTCACCAGCTCCTGGGGTAGCCGACACGCGAGTACCTGGAGCGGCAGACGTACTGGCCCTAATGCCCGGGTCGGGCGGCACACACAAGTACTCAGCACCCTCTCCACTAGTAGACATCACATACATGGCAGATAGAATAGCATCAAAGTCTAGAGCATAGATATCAATCCCCTTCTTCAGGAGATCAAGCGAGCGGGGCAGCTCAGTGGCCTGAGGGAACTGAACACCCCAAGCGTCGTCGAGACGAGAGAAGCAGCGCTTTGTGGCGTGCGGTCGTCCACACTGCTGACTAGTGCGGTCACCAGTGCGAATGACGTACGTGCAGCTAAGACCACCCCCACCCCCGTGCTGAGAGTACCACTCACGGACCTCCTGGGGCGAGGGAGTGTGCTGCTGGCCCTAGCCACCGCCAGTGCCTCCACGGCCACCACCAACGCTGCCACCTCCTCGACCACCCCAACCCCTACCGCCGCCTCGTCCACCGCCACCCCAACCGCCGCCTCCACTCCTGCCACCTCCCCCGCCGCTGCCGCCACCACCCCCACCGCTGCACAGCTACAGGCAGTTACAGATATATTCCGACACTCCCCCATAACTGCCTGCAGAAGAAGCTAATGCAGAGACACCCCCTGAAGGGGTACACCAAGCGCAGCAGAAGAAGAGGGCAAGTGAGGAGGAGGGACTATATGAGGAGAGGCTGCTGGCAGGTGAAGCTGCTGGCTCCAAGGCGGCTGCTTCTTGGAACCTTCCTCAGTCCTCCAACTCCTCCTTCCATACTCCTTGACAACCCTAGCACCTCTCCCTCAGCTCCCCCACACCCTCACACCCACCCCCCCCCCCCCCAGCGGCAGCTGCAGCAGTGGGAGAGAAAGGAGGAGGAGGGGAAGGGGATCACACACACCCATCACCCCCATACCCGCCACCCCCATAGCCTCCGTTCCACGGCTGTACGCGCAGCAGGGAGACAAAGAAGGGGGAGGGGGAAGAGTAGGGGCAGCATAGGCACGGGTAGAGCAGCCGCGCGTGCAGGGCAACAGCGCGGAGCAGTAGCAGAGCGCACAAGGGCGCAGGCAGACCAGAGCGCACAAGGGCGCGGGCAGCAGCAGGGCGCACGACGGGCAGCACAAGCACGGGCAGCAACGGGCGGCAACGGGCAGCACAGGCACGGGCAGCAACGGGCGGCAACGGGCAGCACAGGCACGGGCAGCAACGGGTGGCAACGGGCAGCACAGGCTCGGGCAGCAGCAGGCAGCAACGGGCAGCACAGGCACAGGCAGCAACGGGCGGCAACAGGCAGCTCAGGCACGGGCTGCGACAGGCAGCACAGGCACGGGCAGCAACGGGCGGCAACAGGCAGCACAGGCACGGGCAGCAACAAGCAGCAACGGGCAGCACAGGCACGGGAAGCAACAGGCAGCAACGGGCAGCACAGGCACGGGCAGCAACGGGCGGCAACAGGCAGCACAGGCACAGGCAGCAACAGGCAGCAACAGGCAGCACAGGCAAAGGCAGCAACAGGCAGCACAGGCACTGGCAGCAACGGGCGGCAACGGGCAGCACAGGCACGGGCAGCAACAGGCAGCAACAGGCAGCACAGGCACGGGCAGCAACGACGGCAATGGGCAGCACAGGCACAGGCAGCAACGGGCGGCAACAGGCAGCACAGGCACAGGCAATGACAGGCAGCACAGGCACGGGCAGCAACGGGCGGCAACAGGCAGCACAGGCACGCGCAGCAACAGGCACGCGCAGCAACAGGCAGCAACGGGCAGCACAGGCACGGGAAGCAACGGGCATGGGAAGCAACGGGCAGCAACAGGCAGCACAGGCACGGGCAGCAACGGGCGGCAACGGGCAGCACAGGCTCGGGCAGCAGCAGCCAGCAGCGGGCAGCACAGGCACAGGCAGCAACGGGCGGCAACAGGCAGCACAGGCACGGACAGCGACAGGCAGCACAGGCACGGGCAGCAACGGGCGGCAACAGGCAACACAGGCACGGGCAGCAACAGGCAGCAACGGGCAGCACAAGCACGGGCAGCAACAGGCAGCACAAGCACGGGCAGCAACGGGCGGCAACAGGCAGCACAGGCACGGCCAGCAACAGGCAGCAACAGGCAGCACGGGCACGGGCAGCGACAGGCAGCACAGGCACGGGCAGCAACGGGCGGCAACAGGCAGCACAGGCACGGGCAGCAGCAGGAAGCAGCGGGCAGCACAGGCACAGGCAGCAACTGGCGGCAACAGGCAGCACAGGCACGGGCAGCGACAGGCAGCACAGGCAGCACAGGCACGGGAAGCAACAGGCAGCAACGGGCAGCACAGGCACGGGCAGCAACGGGCGACAACAGGCAGCACAGGCACAGGCAGCAACAGGCAGCAACGGGCAGCAACAGGCAGCACAGGCACGGGCAGCGACAAGCAGCACAGGCACGGGCAGCAACGGGCGGCAACAGGCAGCACAGGCACGGGCAGCAACAGGCGGCAACGGGCAGCACAGGCACAGACAACAACGGGCAGCAACAGGCAGCACAGGCACGGGCAGCGACAGGCAGCACAGGCACGGGCAGCAACGGGCGGCAACAGGCAGCACAGGCACGGGCAGCAACAGGCAGCAACAGGCAACACAGGCACGGGCAGCAACAGGCAGCAACGGGCAGCATAGGCACGGGAAGCAACGGGCGGCAACAGGCAGCACAAGCAAGGGCAGCCGTACCGAGTCCAGGAGCGGCGGCGCATACAGCTGTGGGGTCGGCGCCGTAGGCTGCTGCTGGGGCGGCTCGCGGGGTTCCAGAGGTGGCTGCTGTTGCTGGGGCGGCTTCTCCAGGGGCTGCTGTTGCTGGGGCGGCTGCTCGAGGCGCTGTTGCGGCTGGGGCGGCCGCTGCAGTGGCGGCGGCTCCAGGGGCTGCTGCTGTTGCGGCGGCGGCTCCAAGGGCTGCTGCTGCTGGGGCGGCTGCTCCAGGCGCTGCTGCTGAGGCAAGGGTAGGCCCGCGCTCGGCTGCAACGCTGGCGCGGGCGCACGTGAGGCAGAAGAGGTGGCCAGGGGGGAGGGCGCCGCGACGAGCAGGGACGTCGCCCAAGGGGTGCCGCTACTAGCAGGGGCGATGCCCTAGGGGCGCCGCGACGAGCCGGGGCAGCGTCTAGGGGGCGCCGCGACGAGCAGTGGCGACGCCCCGCGGGTCCCGCAGTGGCGTCACGACGAGCAGGGCGACGCCCCGCGGGTCCTGCAGGGGCGTCGCGATGAGCAGGAGCGGGGACGCCCGGGTCCCGCAGGTGCGTCGCGACGAGCAGCGAGGGCCGCGCGCGGCTCCTCAGGGCGCCGGGACGGGATAGCGGGGGCCGCGCGCGGCTCCCCAGGGCACGGCGACGGGGCAGCGGGGGGCCGCGAGCAGCTCCCCAGGGCGTCGTGACAGGGCAGCGAGGGCCGCGCGCGGGTTGTGGGGCGACGCGACGGGCAGAAAAACCATCACGCGCCACCCGGGCGCGGGACAGAACGAAAATCGCCACGCGCCCGAGGCGCGCGACCGGAAAAACAGCAGCGGAAGCGAGAGGGTGGCCCACAGGCCAGGACTTAATAGGCTCTAATACCATGTTGAAGTTCTAAGCATAGGTTGGCTCAGGAGCCATAGTTTAGGTTCTTAGTAGATCGAGTTCTAGGGTAAGGAGAATGTCGAGAAAGTTGAGAGAGGAGAAAGAGGGCTTCACTATAGGTTGGCAACAACATATAGCAAAGAAACAAAGAAGGTGCACCACCAAACAAAGTTTATAATAACTACACTAACTACAGCTACATGCAGTTACAGATATATTCCGACACTCCCCCATAACTGCCTGCAGCAGAAGCTAATGCAGAGACACCCCCTGAAGGGGTACACCAAGCGCAGCAGAAGAAGAGGGCAAGTGAGGAGGAGGGACTATATGAGGAGAGGCTGCTGGCAGGTGAAGCTGCTGGCTCCAAGGCGGCTGCTTCTTGGAACCTTCCTCAGTCCTCCAACTCCCCCTTCCATACTCCTTGATAACCCTAGCACCTCTCCCTCAGCTCCCCCACACCCTCACACCCACCCCCCCCCCCCAGCGGCAGCTGCAGCAGTGGGAGAGAAAGGAGGAGGGGAAGGGGATCACACACACCCATCACCCCCATACCCGCCACCCCCATAGCCTCCGTTCCACGGCTGCACGCGCAGCAGGGAGACAAAGAAGGGGGAGGGGGAAGAGCAGGGGCAGCATAGGCACGGGCAGGGCAGCCGCGCGTGCAGGGCAACAGCGCGGAGCAGTAGCAGAGCGCACAAGGGCGCAGGCAGACCAGAGCGCACAAGGGCGCGGGCAGCAGCAGGGCGCACGACGGGCAGCACAAGCACGGGCAGCAACGGGCGGCAACGGGCAGCACAGGCACGGGCAGCAACGGGCGGCAACGGGCAGCACAGGCACGGGCAGCAACGGGCGGCAACGGGCAGCACAGGCACGGGCAGCAGCAGGCAGCTGCGGGCAGCACAGGCACAGGCAGCAACTGGTGGCAACAGGCAGCACAGGCACGGGCAGCGACAGGCAGCACAGGCAGCACAGGCACGGGAAGCAACAGGCAGCAACGGGCAGCATAGGCACGGGCAGCAACGGGCGGCAACAGGCAGCACAGGCACAGGCAGCAACAGGCAGCAACGGGCAGCAACAGGCAGCACAGGCACGGGCAGCGACAAGCAGCACATGCACGGGCAGCAACGGGCGGCAACAGGCAGCACAGGCACGGGCAGCAATAGGCGGCAACGGGCAGCACAGGCACAGACAGCAACGGGCGGCAACAGGCAGCACAGGCACGGGCAGCGACAGGCAGTACAAGCACGGGCAGCAACAGGCGGCAACAGGCAGCACAGGCACGGGCAGCAACAGGCAGCAACAGGCAGCACAGGCACGGGCAGCAACAGGCAGCAACGGGCAGCATAGGCACGGGAAGCAACGGGCGGCAACAGGCAGCACAAGCAAGGGCAGCCGTACCGAGTCCAGGAGCGGCGGCGCATACAGCTGTGGGGTCGGCGCCGTGGGCTGCTGCTGGGGCGGCTCGCGGGGTTCCAGAGGTGGCTGCTGTTGCCGGGGCGGCTTCTCCAGGGGCTGCTGTTGCTGGGGCGGCTGCTCCAGGCGCTGTTGCGGCTGGGGCGGCCGCTGCAGTGGCGGCGGCTCCAAGGACTGCTGCTGTTGCGGCGGCGGCTCCAGGGGCTGCTGCTGCTGGGGCGGCTGCTCCAGGAGCTGCTGCTGAGGCAAGGGTAGGCCCGCGCTCGGCTGCAACGCTGGCGCGGGCGCACGTGAGGCAGAAGAGGTGGCCAGGGGGGAGGGCGCCGCGACGAGCAGGGACGTCGCCCAAGGGGTGCCGCTACTAGCAGGGGCGATGCCCTAGGGGCGCCGCGACGAGCCGGGGCAGCGTCTAGGGGGCGCCGCGACGAGCAGTGGCGACGCCCCGCGGGTCCCGCAGTGGCGTCACGACGAGCAGGGCGACGCCCCGCGGGTCCTGCAGGGGCGTCGCGATGAGCAGGAGCGGGGACGCCCGGGTCCCGCAGGTGCGTCGCGACGAGCAGCGAGGGCCGCGCGCGGCTCCTCAGGGCGCCGGGACGGGATAGCGGGGGCCGCGCGCGGCTCCCCAGGGCACGGCGACGGGGCAGCGGGGGGGCGCGAGCAGCTCCCCAGGGCGTCGTGACAGGGCAGCGAGGGCCGCGCGCGGGTTGTGGGGCGACGCGACGGGCAGAAAAAACGTCACGCGCCACCCGGGCGCGGGACAGAACGAAAATCGCCACGCGCCCGAGGCGCGCGATTGGAAAAACAGCAGCGGAAGCGAGAGGGTGGCCCACAGGCCAGGACTTAATAGGCTCTAATACCATGTTGAAGTTCTAAGCATAGGTTGGCTCAGGAGCCATAGTTTAGGTTCTTAGTAGATCGAGTTCTAGGGTAAGGAGAATGTCGAGAAAGTTGAGAGAGGAGAAAGAGGGCTTCACTATAGGTTGGCAACAACATATAGCAAAGAAACAAAGAAGGTGCACCACCAAACAAAGTTTATAATAACTACACTAACTACAGCTACATGCAGTTACAGATATATTCTGACACTGGTAGCATTTCTCTTTCAGTCACGGTTCGGCTTGTTGGCCTAGCCTCTTGGGCAGCTCGGGATCGAAATCCTACGATCGAGATTTTCTGGCCCTACTTTGGTTATCCCTCTGGCACTCTTCGGCCCCAGTTTGATCATTTCCCACACTCGGAAGCACCCTGAGCGCTTATCGAGTCGCACCTTTCATCGGCATTCGTCACTACTAGTACTAGCATTTCGACTTCGTTCGCTCGCCCCACTACTCTCATCGGAAGGTGAACCTGTGTGTAAAACAACATGCCAGCCACTCGTTTGACGATTGAATGACATCGCTGGAGGATGTTTTGCAATGCCTGGGATTGGCGTATTGCAATCCACGCGGCATCATTCCCAACCCCTGATTTTCCCTCCACAATCGAATTTGACATCTCCCAAAGTGCGCACGCACTGTACAAATCCAATAGGTGAAAACATTCAGTATTTTTTTTTTTATTCCGGGTGCAGAGTTTCAAGTTCCAGCAAAACATTTGTGACATTGTCGAAGTAAGATGGTTCGCCATAGAGTAACTCGACACGATGTAATTTGTCACTCATAAATAGAATGTGAACCTACATTGTTGAAACAAATATTTCAGTACGCGATTCTAAAATTGCTTACAACAGATCAAATAGCGGCCGAGGCAGCGCTACAGTAACACATTAGTTACCGAAGACTTGTAACTGTTACAATATCCAATTGTTACGCCACGTTCGGTAACCGTGTTACCACAATACCTCAATGGTTGTTACAACCTCATTGTCTAAATTCATGTAGTAATAACAGTTACCCTGATACACTAATTGAAACATCCACTGTAATATTAGCATCCCATTTTCTTTTCGTTGACCAACACTCGAATAAATACGTATATTGAACATAAACAAGGCACGAAAAAACCAAGTTCTTTTATAATTAACGTCAACTCAACGAACTGTTGAGTGCAAAATGTGGTTTGCACGTCAACCTACCGCCTATTCGCCGGCGATAAAGGAAAATGAGAGTTTTTGTTTTAAGGTAATTTGTGAAGTGCGAGGAGCGCATTTGTGTGTTTACGGTTTGTGAATCGCCTTAGCGGTTCATAAGTTACATGCATTTTTGTGTGGGTGCATTTTATGAATATTTATGAATGTTCATGAGTTACCGTGAGAGCGCATGAGTTCTCGTGAGTTTCGGTAAGTTCGCGGATCTTCGCGATTGCTCATGAGTCTGCGTGTGCGATCATGATTTCTCATGCGTTTTTGTGAGCTTTGTTTAGAGTTCACGAGAGTTTATATTTTTTGTGCATTGTAGCGAAAGGCGAGTGTTTCGCCACGTTGACCAAGTCGCGCTGGACAAGGTCAACCGCGCGCGTAGGTCAGGACCTGCTCGTGAGGTCCTGACACACGCGTGTGGCCCCTCAGGGCTCGCGCGTGTGCTTCGGCACTGTTGCGAGCAAGGCAGGGCCAATGATCGCAACAAGACATTACTGCCCAGTCTCGCGCCAAGACAGCGCACGATCGCGTACGCGATCGTTCTGTCCTGCATGACCGAGAAATATCTCGGTCATGCTGGCTGG